CCCCAAAACCCCAAAACCCCAAAACCCCAGTTTGAGAATTTCAAATGAATTAATCAAAAAATGCCTAAATTTCCAAAATTAAATCCAAAAAGGTAAAAATCATTTTTATCTTCATTGATTTATTCATCTACTTTAGACTATTTAATATAATTTGGAGATCCAGGTACAAGACCTTTTTCAAAAGCTTCATCGTAATCCATAATTTATGCATCATATTTTGATTAATGAGTGAATCCTTTCTCATTCTCACCCTGATATTACTGATCTTTCATTATTTCTATAAAAATTTGCAATTTCTTTGAAGCCATTGTTGAATAATCTCTGTACCAATTTCTAGGATTTAATTTACCTTCATTTTGTCTCATCATCAAATCTTGATAAGATTATACTATGTCATTTTCATCATTGAAGAATACCCCAGTTTAATTATTTATATATTTCCAGCCACCAACAATGTTATAGTTCACTATACAAGGAACATTCATGCTCATCGCTTGTGTAATAACTCTTGGTGAAGCATCAGAAATACTTGGAACAAATAATACTTTAGTTCTTAATAAGTGAAATAGAAATTCATCAAAAGGTAGTATTTCCTTTTTAATTATACAATCCTTTAGATCATCTGGTGGTTCTCTCCCTATTAAAAGAATTTTAATCTTTAGGTCCTAGCATAATTTTCGCAAACACTCTACTGCTAATGGCCAATTTTTGGTTTAATTATGCCAAAGGGAATCTCCTATACTCACGATAGTCAGATCAAATTCCTTTTTGGGTTCTTGATCTATTTCATCTCCTGGATACCAAGCTGAAATTACTTCATACTGAAGGTCTGATTCTGCAAAATTAAATCTTGGTTAAAAATTGCCCAGATAATCAGTAGGGTTTCTAACACAATGAAGCCAACCTGAAAATTCTGAGACATGATATTCTATATTCTCAAATCATCTGGAGCCTCTGCAGAAACATACTTTGGCCAACTTCTATAGGACATAATACCTAAAGGCAAGTAGCCTTTTTTCAAGATTGTATGATATTTCCAAAATTCATCATCAATTAATGGCGCTCCTACTAGCACAATATTTACATCCTGTTTGTGAGCTCTGCTCATAATCATATAAAAAGGTTATCCTACTCTCCAATTTCCAATCATACCAAACTCAGCTATCTCGTAGCCTAGCAATAAATCATATCTAGCAATGGCATCTTGCTCAACTATTGTGTCATAGTCAAATTAATGTGTGTATGATTTAAAGTAATTGTAAATATATTTCTAATCCTTTGTACCATCAATGCAATGATTTTAAAGATAACCAAGGCTTGAGTCTAATTTCTCCTCTTAAACTTCTTTATTCGCATTTATTCTATTTTAAAAATCTTTTTCAAACTGGAGATAATCTTCATCATCTTTATTTAAGTCATTTAATTGATCTTAATACTGAGAAATACTATTATAAGTTGGCAGTAATTTATAATGCTTTTTATAGCTGTAAGAGTATTATTCCAAGAAATAATGAATCTTAATTTAATTGATTTCGTCATCATAAAATTCAATTTCATGAGGATAACTTCTAGGGCTAATCAGGATAAATTAAGGAGTTGGAAAATTCCATTCCATCGATATTTGATATCCAGTCATTTCAGTATACATTATTTCGAGATCTGGTACTAGACTAGTTAATTCAAGGGCCATTCTTCTCCAAAATGGTTCAACTAACAGACAATTTAAATCCCCAAAAGATGTCATCATGATGAAATAATCCTTATTTTCCAAAAAGTAGGCTAGATTACCTTTATTAATCGCATTTTCAACATACTCATATTTTATCTTTTTAATGTTTGCATTTTTCAAAGAATATTCATAAGCTATATCAGTTTAGAGTCTGAAATTATTGAAATCTTATAGCATTTAAATCAAGTAATGAGAATTTAAAATTTTCATATTCCCATCGAAGCTTGAGTTATGTCTTCTTGAATGCCAAAACCCTCTTACTAGTACTAATAAATCATCAAGTTTATTGATAACCTTGGAAAAGTACACTTTAACTTTTATATCTGACTATATGAAGAAGTTTTCATGGTTAATTCCTTGGATTTGCTCAAACAGATAGCTTTCATTATAGAACCCATAGTGGAAAACTAAAATAGTATTCAAATCCATAGCCTAATAAAATGCGGTAGTAGTCCTATGATCGTTATGCATATAGTTTATACAAGTTTAGTTTGTTTAAAACACTGGGTAATTTGAATCCTTAATGGAATCTCTATTGAATCCCTCATAATTGAGTAGATCGTGAATTTGTATAAAAAAGAGATTTATATGATTTAGTGAATGATCAGTCTAGATTTATTGAGGCAAAAAGGCTGATTTTATTAAGAAGTAGAAAAGATAGTGATACATTTTATTTTAATATCTCTTTTATTAATTGAATTCTTGTTTTATGGGGTTTTGGGGTTTTGGGGTTTTGGGG